AGCGCCCCTGCCCCCAGCTCATCCACACCCTGGAGGAGCAGCCCGGCTTCTCCCAGCGGGACCGCTGCCACGTGGCTTCTCTGCTGTCCCTGGCACTGCACGGCAAGCTCGAGTACCTGACTGACATCATGAGGACACTGCTGAGTGACCTGGCCGCCCATTACGTGCACAAGAACCCCAAGCTCATGCTGCGCAGGTCGGCTGGGGCCGGACCATGGGCCCGGAAGCAGGGGTGGTGGCTCCCCGCTGAGCCGCACCCCACCCTCCCCCACCCCCGCCCGGTCCTGGGCTGCGCAGGGCCAGGAACGCCCAGGCGGTGGGCTAGGACAGAAGCCACTGGGAGGGAAGCGGACGGGCCTCCTTCCCAGGGACGTGGGCACGAAGGGCTGACAGGTGGAAAAGCTCTGCCTTCCCTTGTTTGCCCAGCTCAGCCCGGTGCCAGGGGGGCGGGGGCCCCGCAGCACCACCTCTCTGACCTGGGGCCTGCTCCCTGCAGGACAGAGACCATGGTGGAGAAGCTGCTGACCAACTGGCTGTCCATCTGTCTCTATGCCTTTCTGAAGGTGAGGGGCACCCTGGCTGACGCCTTCTCCCCTTGCCTCATTTCAAGGCCGCTGCCTGGGGCCTCACCGACCCGGGCCCACATTCCCCCCGGGGCATGAGGCGTGGGATCGGGCAGGGCTGGGGGTGAGGCCGAGGCCGGCTGTTCTTGTCCTCCCTCCGCGCAGCTGACCGCCCCTCCCTGTCCCCTCGCGCCCGCGGCGCGGACGCCGCAGGAGGTGGCTGGTGAGCCGCTGTACGTGCTCCTCCGGGCCATTCAGTACCAGGTGGACAAGGGCCCCGTGGACGCCGTGACCGGCAAGGCAAAACGGACCCTGAACGACAGCCGCCTGCTTCGGGAGGACGTGGAGTTCCGGCCCCTGACGCTGATGGTGCTGGTGGGCCCCAGGGCCGGTGGGGCAGCGGGGAGCAGCGCTGCGCAGCGCGTGCCTGCGCGGGTGCTCGACACAGACACTATCACCCAGGTCAAAGAGAAGGTGTTGGATCAAGTCTACAAGGGCACCCCCTTCTCCCAGAGGCCCTCGGTGCACGCCCTAGATCTCGGTGAGAGAACCAACCACCTGTCCCTGCACGGGGCTGTCCCCACCCGGAGATGCTCAGCCCTGCGCTGCTCCACATGGTTGGGGGTGGGGGGGCTCCGACCTTGTCACCTTGAATGCACGGCCAGTGCAGACTCGGGGAACAGGCTGCAGGCTAATGGGCTTCACTGGGTGCCCCCAGAGTGGCGCTCGGGCCTTGCTGGCCACCTAACCCTGTCAGATGAGGACCTGACCTCGGTGACCCAGAACCACTGGAAGCGACTCAACACCCTACAGCACTACAAGGTGCCAGGCGGACAGGGGCTGGGGGGGCGGGCCCCCACCTCTGAGTCAGCCAGGGAAGGAGCCCAGCCTCCACTCACCTTCCCGCCAGGTCCCGGATGGAGCCACCGTGGGGCTCATCCCCCAGCTGCACAACGGAGGTGCCGTCTCCCAGAGCCTGGCCCAGAACTGCCCCTTGGGGGAGAGTGAGTCCTCTGGCCCCAGAGCTGGAAGTGGGCAGGCAGGAGTCCTGGGCACGCTGTCTGCCTCACCTGGGTGTCCCCCACACCTTGCCAGGGGGCGAGCCCAACCTCTAGGCGGGGCCAAGGACCTGGGGCAGACGAGGCCAGCAGCTCGTCCTGGTTGGGGAGCTCTGGGACCATGGGGGGTTGGGCTGAGCTCTTTGCCCCTGCCTTCCTCGGCGCCCGCCACCCTGCCCCGCGGCCAGGTGTCCCCAGCCAGCGGTGTGGGATAGGGGACCGGGGCGGAGGACTGAGGCCAGACTTCTGGGCCCTCAGACATTCCCATGCTGGAGGATGCCGAGGAGGGTGGGGTCCGCCTCTGGCACCTGGTGAAAGCCTCCGACGAGCCGGAGGGAGCGAAGGCGCGTCGCAGCAGCCTGAGGGAGCGGGAGCGCGAGCGGGCGCGGGCCAAGGCGATTCCGGAGATCTACCTCACGCGCCTGCTCTCCATGAAGGTCGGTGTGGCTGGGGGGCTGGGCCCCTGACTGAGCCGTGGGGGAGGGCGTGGTCCTGAGAGCTAGAGAGGTGGCCTGACCCCCCGCCGGAGCACGGCCCTGGCCCACACCTGCCTCCCACACAGACCCACCCCACCCCACCCCACCCCCGCCTTCCAGGGCACGCTGCAGAAGTTCGTGGATGACACCTTCCAGGCCATTCTCAGCGTGAACAGGCCCGTGCCCATTGCTGTCAAGTACCTGTTTGACTTCCTGGACGAGCTGGCCGAGAAGCATGGCATCGAGGACCCGGAGACCTTGCACATCTGGAAGACGAACAGGTACGTCGCCTGCTAGCCCCCAGCCCATGCAGGGCACGGCCCACGAATCCAAGCTTGGTGGCATCCACCCTGCATTTCTGACACGGACACGCAAGACAGCTCCCTGTGGAACTCAGGCCTGGGGCCCGGGCCGACGGTGCCCACGGCTGGTCTGTGTCCCCAGCCTACTGTTGCGGTTCTGGGTGAACGCCCTGAAGAACCCACGGCTCATCTTTGACGTGCGGGTGTCGGACAACGTGGACGCCATCCTCGCCGTCATTGCCCAAACCTTCATCGACTCCTGCACTGTCTCCGAGCATAAAGTGGGCAGGGTAAGGGGTGAGGACGAAGGGCTCCCGGGGGAAGCCATGGAGGCTCAGCAAGGAGCCCTGAGTGGGGCTGGGAGGGGTGGCGCATAGTGGGGGCCATGAGGCTGGGGTGAGGGGGCACTGGGGGTGCATTCAGGGTGACAGGGCCGGAGCTCCCCCCTGCCGCACCCCCCCGCCTCCCCGCTCAGGCCCACTCCTACCCGGAGCAGGATTCCCCAGTGAACAAACTGCTCTATGCCCGGGAGATCCCTCGCTACAAGCAGATGGTGGAGAGGTAGGTGTTGGGGCATCAGGGCTGGGGGGTGGCGGCCGCCCGGCCCTAACTGTGTCTCCTCTGCCAGATACTACTCCGACATCCGCCAGAGCTCTCCCGCCAGCTATCAGGAGATGAACTCAGCTCTGGCCGAGCTCTCCGGGGTGAGGCATGGTGCAGGGGGCACACCCCTCCACCTTTGGGTGGGTGCAGGGGGGAGGGGGGAGGGTTGGGGTTTAAGGTCCAGGCTGGAGCCTCACCCCTCCATGTGTGGTCCCCAGAACTACACCTCTGCTCCCCACTGCCTGGAAGCTCTGCAAGAACTCTACAACCACATCCACAGGTATTATGACCAGGTGAGGCCCAGGGTTCTCCAGGGGGGAGGGGTACGCCCCCAGAGCCCAGAGGGAGGCCCCAGGAATCTCCCTGGGGATGGAAGGAGGTGTCTAGGCCAATCTGGGCAGAGGGGAGGAAGGGCCCAGGTTGGGGAAGAGGCGTGACTTCTGTGCAGATGCCTCAGGGAGGCCTGGGGCGGCCCCTGCCGGATCCCCAAGCCACTGCTGAGATGGACTCAGGGCTGGGGGTCCCTGGGCTAATGGGCAGAAAGCAGAGGCCTCAAGCGAGGCACCCTCCTCTGCTCTGGCAGATCATCAGCGCCCTGGAGGAGGACCCTGTGGGTCAGAAGATGCAGCTGGCCTGCCGTCTGCAGCAGGTAGCAGCCCTGGTGGAGAACAAGGTGACTGACCTGTGAGCTTGGGCCCCCGCGGATACCCAAGGCCCGCCAGCCTGGAGAGGAGCAAGCAGGCCCTCCCACCGCAGTGCCTTAGGACCCCTGGATGGAGCCAGCAACAGGAGGGGCTGGTGGAAAGCGGAAGGGGGTTGTGCCCACCAGGGGGCTCCCCACCGCCTCCCACCCACCGGCCCTTCGCCCTGCTGTTCCCCTACCTGGGCTTCCTTCTAATTTATAGTAGTCCTCACCTCTTCTCCTCACCTCCCCCACTGTATTTATTTGCTTGCTGGAGAATCACATCTGGAAATAAAATAGAAAAACATCTTTTTAGAAAAAGTCCAATCCCAGCCCCTGCCTTTCCCTGCGAGTCTACTCAGTGCTCCCTTGCTTGGCCCTCCCCTTGGCCCCATGGCTGTGACTTCTGCCTGAGGAAGAGGGATCATCAGGCACCCACAGGCCATGCTCTCTCCCCTCTCCCCTCACCTCCCCTGGCCCACCCGCCCCCATCTATGCCCACCCTTCCCTACCAATTCTTTCCTGGCCCAGGGACAACAGGACCAAGTGTCTCCCATCTTGGGCTAACCACAGTCACTGCCGAGCCCCCTCTGCTTCTTTCGGACTCCCTGATAGTCCCCAGCTGGACTCCCAGCTCCACACATGTCCCCCTCCATTCCCTCCTGGTCGCAGCCAGAGTGATCTTTCTAAAGAGCAAAAGTGCCCCTCAGCCTCCATGGGAATCTCACACTAATGCCCACACACACTAGTGCCCACGGGCTCCGGGTAGGACCCTTAGCTGCCCAAGGCCTTCCCGCCTCCCTCCCACACCCAGCCACTCTGTGGCCAAAGAGGTCTCCCGTCCATCCAGCTGTAGGCCTCACCCCAGCCAGGCTCTGCACCATCCTGGAAGCTTACCCACCCACCCCTTTCTGGGGGAGTTGACTCTTTCTTGTCCCTTGGATGCGGCCCCAAAGTCCCAGGCCCCAGAGGGCTCTGCCCGACCCGGAAGTCCCTCTGTCACCAACCAGCCTGCCTGTTAGAGCTAGAGGAGGACCCCTGAGGACAGGGCCAGGGTGGATGGTTCCCTGTGCTTCCCACAAGGAGCTGGGAGGCCACACAGTGTCAGCACTAGAGTCCTGAGCGGGCAGGTTCCCAGGATTCGACACTGTCCGGGCCCCTCCGGGGGGAGGACCCAGTTACCTTCAGCTCATGCCCCTGACTCATTCAGCCAGAATCCCCAGCGACAGACACCATGTTCGGAGAGAGGAGAGCTCCAGCCTAAGGGGTCAATGAGCCTCAAGAGAAGTGGGAACCCGGCTGAGAGGGGGCGGGGAATGGGGTACCCATGGGAATGGGAAGTGTCACCTTTGGAAAGGCTACCACAAGGGCCAAGCAGGAAGCCAGGGAATGTTCCAAGAGTGTCACTGGTACAGTAGGGCATGTGCGGTGGGGGGCGGGGAGGGGCTCAACATGAAGACCAGGCTGTCCACTGCCCCCCTCAGCTGGCTCCAGCTCTGGAGTGTGGGGACTCAGCCCGGGAAGCAGGTCGCTGACACGTCCCCACTCAGTGGGCCCCCTCTGCTACCCCTGGGGCATGGGGGTTGAGCCGAGGGACTGGGTTGCTGCATCTTCTCGTGGGTGTCCCCCTTGGTCCTAGGGCCCCCCTTGGGACCGTGCGGGGGGTCCCCCTTGGTGCAGGGACTTAGGGTGGAGGCTGGGTCGCGCCACGTCCCCACCGTGGCCCCCTATGCCAGCCATGGGGCGGGGGCGGGGGGGCGGCTGGTCCTGGGGGCCAGGCTCTCCTGGGCCACAGTGGCCGCACCGCCTCCTCCCCGCCGCATACCTTGCCCACAGCCGAGCAGCTGGGAGGCTATTTATAAAGGCGGGTGAGATCAGCGGCCGAGGCTATAAATGCGCGGGCCGCAGCCGGGCCCCACAGGAGC